TTTCTTTATCAGGGACATCCAACCAAGGGAGAAGCCCCTGTTGCATGCCTGCCTGACCTGAAGTTTATACTCTTCAGTAACGTCGGCCATACCCTGGGCGTAGGCCTTTTCGTCGGCCGCCTTGATTTCAGCATCTTTAGTAGATAAAGAATCTTGAAGTTCCTTTTCCGCTTGGGCCTTTTTGTCCTCGGCCTCTTTCTTCTCGGCTTCGGCGACGTTCTTAATTGCCTTGGCAGATTCAGCTTTTTCCTCGACTAGACTTTGGGCTTTGGTGGCGGCCTCAGCTTGGTCCTCCAGTTTTTTCATCTTTGATTCAAGAGATGTGTTCTCCTTTTTCAGGGCAGAAACCTCCCTCTTCATGTCGGCCAATCTTTGCCGATTTTCAAAAGCTTGCATGGAGAGAGAGTGGGCATGTTGGATGGCCTGAAAGAACACAAGGCATAAATTGTTACAAAATTTTACAAAGTAAGAGAGAAAACAAATTTCAGCACAAAGGCACTTACTTGGACAGAGCATTGCAGCATAAAGGCATAGTTCTCATACTCACTTATCTTAGCATTCCGCTTAAGATCACCTGGGAGGAGTAGAGCAGTACTAAGTGCCACGCCGACGTTTATATCATCGGCACTGTCGCTGGCAAGGACAGGTTTATCTTCTAGAGTGATCTCTGGTCTCCAAGGGACTTTTGGTATTCTGGAACCCGAGGTCGTCATAGACGATGACCTCGGCTTCTTTGATTGGGAGGGTTCTGATGGCTGGGCCTCAACAGACCTTTTTGCAGAAATAGAAGCAGTTTTTTTACTCTCTGCCAATTGTGAGATGGGCAGGGCATCCTCAGCCTCAACCTCAGTAGCTTTGGCCTTAGGCTGAGCCTTTTTGATTCTTTTTAGCTTTGGTGGGGGCATGGATTGAGCTGGAACAGCATCAACGTCTACAGGTAGGTCGGCTAAGAGATCAACAACGACAGGCTTCGGGCGACCCATCTCAGCAGTCTTGACAAGTCGTCGCCGACGTTTTCTTTCTGGTATTGGGATTAAGTATGGGGCTGAAGTAGATGGCAGATCAGCTGGGTCAGATGTTGACTCTTGATCTGTTCGTGATGAAGAGGCGGTTTGAGTTGTGGTAGTAGGAGGAGAAAGGCTTTTCTTCTTTCGTTTGGGAACGTCGGGCAAAGTCGACTTGTACGTCGGAATAAAATTCAGTACCAGTGGGGCCTTGCGCTTTTGGAGTGGCAGATCCAGGAGCTTCTTTAAGTCTCTGCTGGGAACGTAGGATTGGCGAAAGTCTTTCGGTAACTTACGAACGTCTGCAAGAAGAAACAAACATTAGAAACAGATTAAATATTGAAGACTTGAACAGAAACAACTAAAGTATTGATATTGGGCTCTTACCCTTGCCCTCTTTAATAGATCGGGGAAGAGGGTAGAGATGGGCGTCCTCGTCTGGGCCAAACTCCCAATTTCCCGAAGCAATAACATAGTCATCTTCAGCCCCCTTGTTGGAGTCTGGGAGGTCAGCTACGATTTTGTATTCTGTCGACCTCGGCTTAAGATAATAAACGAAGCCTTTTTCCTTCAGGCTAAGGGGGCACATGGTATAACAGAACTGAATGTCGGCCAGGGTAATCCTAGTGTTCTCCTACCTAGCTAAAGCTATGATGCCATTGATCACTCGATAAGAGTTTATGGCGAGTTGCATAGGGTTCAACTTGTAAAAGTGAAGAATTTCGCGAAAAACAATGTTAAGTGGGAGCCGGAGTCCGCACTCAGTAAAAGCTACTATAGGAAAGGGCATTGAATCATCTGTGGGCATGATAGAGTCATTATCTTCAGCCAGCCTCAGATGGACATGGGCAGGAATTGAGAACTCCCGCCTGAAGTACTCAAGTTTGGTCGGGGTATCTATCCTATGTCTCCACATACCCATAACGTCGGCCTAAAATCAGAGGGCTAGGTCTCAAAAAGAAGGTATTCTTAAAGGGTTATTGGAACCTCGGCAAAAACCTAGGAGAGTATTGGTACGGCTTGTTTCAGTTTTCCCTAAATTAAAGGTTCTACAAACAAATCCCAAACCTAAGAACTATGAAGATGAAGATCAAAGGCACAGATCTGGAAAGGAAAAACAGAAAACAAGAAACAAAGAATGACGTTTCAGAAACGAAGAACAGAGATATGGTTCTCAAAAGCGAAAGAAATACAGAAGTAAAAGGTCAAGAACAGTGGCAAGAAAAGTATTAAAACAGTGCAAGTGTTCAAGATATGAGTAAAATCATAGAATAGACGCATCCAGATGAATAGTTCAGCAAATCAAAGGTTTGAACAGCGCAATAATGGCAGTAAGTAAACGAAAGCACATAAAAGAAATTGGGAATAAGAGGAACAGAGGCTTACCAGAACAAATGAAGCCGGAATGAAAGTCGCCGAGGTAAGGCAACAGTTGCAGACAAGATGGGACGACGAAAGCTTCGCTGGAATGGAAGAATGAAGACGGTTGCAGAGCTTGGAGCTAGAGCAATGGCGGGTTTGAGAAAGTTTAGAGAGAGAGAGAGAGAGCCAGAAAATCGAATGCAAAAGTAAAGAAATGAAGATGGAAAGAAAAGTTTTATCAAAAACTTGAAACGGCGGCAAAACAGGACATTTATTGCGCCTGGAGGAACGTATGCGTCAGACGGCGCAGACAGGTGAAAGACGGCTTACTAGCGCGTCACAGACACGGGCCAATGAAGATAGAACACGTAAGGGGAACGGTTGAGAAGAAATGCATGACAGCTCATGCGCGTGAGGGAATTTGTTTGAGTTCTTGTTCTCCGAAGAGAAAACGTCGGCTTGACATAAATGATCTCGGCTAAACAGTTTTTAAGCCAATATGCAGAAAGAAATATCGATATAGGTTCCATCACCTCAGGATACCGAGGTAATAGAACCTAGGGGGTAGTTGTGGGGATATATTTTTTGAGTACCATGGTGACGCCGACGTGTCAGCCGACAAGCCACGTGTCGTGGTAGCTGTGTCGAGGTTATCTCTGAAGATATCGGAATCCGAGATAATCGGATAAGGGACAAGAGTCCTAGAGAAAAGAGAAGACTTTTGCTAAGATAAGGATAAAGCTCTTAGGGAGTTTATCTTTATCTCTTGAGGAATCCAAAGTACGTACTAAATTGGAGTCCATAGAAGTCAGGCGGACTTGGATTGAGTAAACTATAAAAGAGAGGCACCCCGTGGGTCGAAGGTACGCAATTTTATATTCAAGCTTGTGAGTTTAGCACTTGATTATCTTTGAGAGATATACTGACTTGATCGTCGGAGTGCCCCCGGGTAGAAGAGCCACCGCGGGAGCCTTTTCTTTTTGTTACAGGTTTGTTAAAGTCATCTATTCTGCCGGTGCTCTCCAGCTGATTACTAGGCGGGCAGTGTGGTCAGAAAATTATCCACACATTATGCTACATCATTAATTGATATATTAATTAATATATTAATTGGTATATATAACATCACTCTTTACCTTTTCAATAATTCAATATAAACCAAAACAATTAAAGTTTCACATGGGTTTAATATCTAAATTCCATGAATAAATAAAACACTAAAAAGGAAAGGAGAGTTCAAGAAGGCAGACTGGAATTGGGGGGCGCACGGTGCTATGACGGTTAATTGGATCTTATCTCGAGCACATGTTATTGATTTCAACTGCTTATATGGTAAGATTTATCAAGTACATTATTTATGAAAAAATCTATAACTTTAAAATGAGATTATATTTTTTTTTAAAAAAATAAATTGTTAGAGTAATTTTAGTAATGTATTTTAAAACAGTTAGAACTTAATCATGGACTTAGACATGTTTGATTAACTTAATTTTTTTTTTATGAATAATATGTTTGACGAATCCTATTATATAAATTATACAAATAAAAAACATAGGCCAAGGACAAGACCTAACGAACTATCACAGCACAGCACACACCCCATGTCCAAGATGGACTACAAAATATTACAAAGAGATCATAGAAATTAATTGAGTCTACAAAATATTACAAGTGGGTCTCAGAAATTAACTGAGTCTACCCACAAATAAGCCATTTTTTTTTGGTGGGGGCGGGGGGAATTTAAAATTAAAATTAATATTTTTTTAATTTTTTATGAAAATATATATAAAAAAATAGAAAAAATATTTTGACAATTTATAGTAATTTTTTTTTTTAACTTTTTGAATAAAAACTTAAATTTCCAAACAAAACCTAAACACATATAATCAAGTTATTTGAACTATACTTGTCCTACACATTTTATTTGACTAGTCACTCAATTACACTATACATAGTTTAATTTACTTCAGATAAAATATTTCACCAGAATATTTACGTAATTCAAATGTCATAATTATTTAAAATAATTAATTTGATTATAAGAAATTAATTTTTTCACATCTTTACATTATATAAACAGAACTAAGTAATTCATAAACCGTGGGGTCATTTTATAATTACTGTTGAATTTAAGGTCTAAAGTTCATATATATATATATAGACTTGTCTGTTAGTTTTCCGCGGATCGTTCAGTGTAGAACGTTTTGTCGTAGGTGCTTGATTAGCCTCTTACCAGCTCTCTACATTTTCTTTTAATAATGATTACATATAAGTGTAAATTATAGATCATCTTTTTTTTAAGGCCACTGATATTAAGATTTTATAATATAAAAGATATTTAATATTTTCACAATATTTAAGATCCCTCAACTTCGATTCAAAGAAAATTCGATCTAGAGAAAATTTTTCCTCACAAGAAAAATTTCTCTAGACACAATATAGAGAAAAATTTAGGGGTATTTTTTTAAGGTCCCTAATATTTTGATTTTACACCATAAAGGACATCAAATAATTTCATGATGTCTAAGGTCCCTCAACATCAATCCAGAGAAAATTCACGTCAGAGAAAATTGGTCCAGAGAAATTTTGAATTTCTCTGGCCTCCTTAGCCTTTCATGGACACTGCCAGAGAAATTTCCTTAGCCTTTCATGGACTCCAGAGAAATTTCAAATTTCTCTGCCGTGGGTTTGATTCTCCACCAAATGTTGTTGAAAGCTTTCACTGTGTCACAGATAGAAGGTTCTAAAAACGCTCGCTTAGGCATGCTATTTAATGCTAATCTAGGTGCGAGTTTTCCCAGTCTCCTTTTTGTGAAGGCTTCTGAAGTCGCTGCATTGTCATATAGGTATTTTAAGCCAAAGTTGTTTCTATATTCCTTATGGCATCTGAATATGGAAATATTTGCCCCCCCTAATATTTCCTGTAACTCAATGCTTACTTTTGTGCAGTCATAAGGCAAAGGTGCTGGATTTTTTGGATCAACTATGTGCATTTTATGAGCTGGAATACGTGCATGCATCCTCTGTAGTTGCTGAAAGCAATGAAGCATTTATTGATAAGGTCTGTGATCTGGCTGATGCAAATGCGTTATCAACTAAGATGTTGAGAATAGGAGGATTTCGGGTGGTCTGTGCCATAGAGTTACTACCTGAAGAAAAATACCATTTATTTTACATTCATGCACAGAATTGAAACTTCAAGATTAAATTTACAGTCTCTAGGTAAAAGAAAACTGAATTTTCTCTGGGTTGAAACCAGAGAAATTCTCTGGGTTTTCAACTGAATTTTCTCTGGGTTGAAACCAGAGAAATTCTCTGGTTGAACTCAACAATCCATCATCAACAGTAATGGTCGGAAGCGCATCTGATCTTCTGCCACAACATTGCTCCGATTAATCTATTTCTAGAGATATTCGATGACATGGAAATACTGGGTGTCGAGCATGACACGGACAGGCCACCTCATCGCTTCCGTCTACGGCCGCAGTAGCTGTGGGGGGATTCGGAACGAGCCAGCGTTCAAGCATGTGGAGGGTGTTGAGTCGGTCAGAATCGGAGTCTGAAGTGAGTTAGAGCTCGGCAAGGTGGAAGAGTTCTGAAGGCGGTGGTTGTGGGTAAGAATGGTAGTGGGTTTGGGGTGGTGATGGGTCAGATTCCGACGGCGGTGGTGGTGGTGGTGGGTGAGAGTGGTGTGACATGGGTGAGTTTAGGAGTGGGAATCTCCACTGGGTAAAGCTTTGGGAAGTGTTGGGAGATGAGGAATCAAAGTCAGGTTGTTGGGGATGGCGATGGGTCAGATGATGAAGATAGTATAAAGGACTGAAATTTCTTTGATATATGTTTATGGACCTTAGACATCAAAAAATAATTTTGTGGATCTCTTCCATTACGAAAAATGGGAGAGGGACCCTAGACCGATTTTCCCAAAAATTTACACATCTCTAACACTAAATTTCTCTAGACACATCACCAACACCAAATTTCTTTGGACACATCACAGAGAAAATTTTACACAACACCAATACGAAATTTCTCTAGACACATCACAGAGAAAATTTTACACATCTCCAATACCAAATTTCTTTGGTTCCATTATGCACAAATTTACCTACTGAACAAATTTCTCTGGACACATTACAGGAAAAATTTACACACCTCTAACACTAAATTTATCTAAACACATCACAGAGAAAAATTTACATATCACCAACACCAAATTACAGAGAAAAATCATGTAAGAGAAACGGCTACAATAGAACTATTACTGTAATGATACTTTACTAGGAAAAACATTTCTTGTAATATAAATCAATTAGAAGCAAATAATGAACTTTTTATTTTTATAGGTAAGGCAAAGAGACTCAAACTTGAGTATCTTTATTGGGAGAATGCAACGTACTCTTGTTGGGGCATCCCATAGGAAACACAGATAATAGAAACTGTTAGAAATTGGGCACCCATATGGCATGACCCTTTGAACCTTTTGAACTTGAACCTTTTGAACTTGAACCTTTTGAACCTTATCCATGTAAGTTTGAATTTTAATTCAAAACTTATTTGGATAACCATTCAGGATATCTATATCTATCATATCAATAAATATGGATAGATGGATAGATAGATATTGGTGGTTATATATCTAATTATATATTTTAGATAATATATTGATATATCATATACGTATATTAGATACGTTATGTGGTTTTTACCCATAACCTTTTTTCCCAGACTCTCTCTCTGACTCTCTCCCGTTAAACAACGATCAAGCCATTTTGCACTGTGACTTGTGTGGGTGATACTCATTTTGTAGTATCACTCCACTGCTGGGTTCGTTGTTCAGATTCTGGAAGCACGTGATTTACCTACGAGGTTCTATTGCAAAAAGGTATGATTCTGATATTTTATCCACTGCGTCATAATACTTTATGATTTACATTGGTATCAGAGCCAATATGGGTATTTTCGTACTTATTTTTATGCATTAAAATATGTGTATATTTTTGTATAAATATATATACATGATATATGCATGAATATTAATGAAGGAGGAAGATGAAGTGCATGGTTTCTGCACTTCCACTCTCATTAGAGTGAGAGTGTAAAAAAAAATACATCATTTTTATGTTCATTAAATGCCATTTTTAAGACCATAAATGTTTTTATTTTGAAAAATAGAGTCCGGCAGTACCAAAATCGAACAAGAAAACACCTTGGAACGCGGCGCATGAGCCGCACGCGCTTGGTGACGCCATCAGCGGCAGCCACGTGCTAGGCGCGCTTCCCATGCGCTTCCATACGCCAGGTGCGCTTACCACGAGCTGCCATGCGCGCGTTGTAGCGTCCTTCCACATGCGCGCGTTAAACCGCGCCGCTTCGAGCCACGCCACGTGCACAGCCACGCGCGTGCCATGCGCCGCGCCGCGTTGAGCCGCCTCGAGCCATGCGCTGAGCCGCTCGATGAGTCGCGTGTTGAGCCGCCTTCTGAGCCGCGCGCTGAGTCGCGACGTTTTTCCTCCGCGGTGGCTTGGCTGCTGGTACGAAGGCGCTGTTTGTTTTGTTTTAAATTCTGAATCACGTTAAATGGTCATAATTAATTCGTTATAGCTTTGTTTTAAGCGTGGTTGGTACCGTTAGACTCAAAATTAAATTTTCTATCTTTTGTAAAAATTTTAAAATTTTTTGAAAATAAAAATGTTTTTCCTGAAATAATAATTCATTATTTCTGCTTTAAAATGCATCTGGTGTTACATGATTAAGTTTCTAGGGCTGAATTTTTTATTGTAGACTACTGTTATGGTCTACTATTCACTGGTATGATTGTTGCATTTTTCCAGATTCTGGAATATTTATTTATGATTTCATGTGTGTTTATTAATTATTTAAAATACCAGAAAATTTCAAAAAAATTTCAAAAGTGATATACTTTCTGTTATGGCATAATCTGAATATTAAATACAGCATATTGTTGTTTTTTACCTAGAGTTTCTAATATGTTGCAATTAGAATAGCATGATTAATTGTTATTTGTTTAAATTCCATTATTAATTGTGACATAGCATGAGTTGGTTGTGAATCTACATTATGATTATTGTATGGAATTAGAATTTTTCATCATGCTTTTAGACATGCCATAGTCAGTGGGAGGTCATTCGGTTAAGAGAAATCTTTGTAGATTTACTCCCGAAAACCAATATTTTGCGCATAAATTAAATTAAATTTTGGATAATTGTCACATGTGGCGCAACAGATGATTACGAGCATAGCGGATTTTCAATCTTGCAACTTGTGTAATATTGTCACTATTTAATTTAGATTTTTGTGGCAAAATTATATTATTCTAATCAAATTAATCCAAATGCGAATTTCTCTCTAAATTGACTTAGCTTATGGAAGTTAATTGGTTGACCTAGACTTAGTAGAGATGTTCAAATGTGAACAATGTAATCATATTCTTTAGATGAGCAAAAGTCTTGGAGACTTTAGGTCAGACATTAATTGAGCCAAAGTAAGGAAACATGACTCAAAGTCGCCGTGGTTTTGTTGCCTTGTTTGGCACAATAACAACTAATGTATGCGCCATGGTTAGCAGCACGCTACGTACTTTTGGTTGGCGAATTTTGGAGTTGTGAAATTAGTAAGCCCTCAATAGATCTGTATATGATCTTGACTATTGAGCTGCACGGATTGACTTTGTATTTTGACTGGTAATGATGTTGCATCATTGGATGTAGTAACATTCAAGAGTCACGTCATCCAAGAAATGCGAGCTTACATGAATTAGGCATTAAGTGTAAGATAAGTAGCCAGTATGAGCAGTGTTTTGCTCTCTATCCAACTGTTGGGAGTGGATGGAGCAAAATTTCACGCACTTTAATAGTGTGCATTAAAGTATCACTTGAAGTTAAAAGATTAGCACTTAGTAGCAGCAAAATCTATTAACACTAAGTGAAAAGATTAACGCCAAGTGGCTGCAAAATCTATTAACATTGCCAACTTGTCTAAGTGTGGACACTTATTGTTTCCACACTTGAGTGTGAGACATGTTGAGGTGCTTCTTTGTATGATTCCTTAGCTAGGCTAACGTTTTTTGAATAACGTTTACCACTAAGCGCAAACGTTGCAGCATAATAATGAAAAAGGTCAGGTCGACAAGGTTGTTATGACTCTAAGAATTTGACGCATCGCTTGTGAGAGCATTGTGTTGAATTAGACTCTTTAGCCTAATTCGCGCTTAAGTTACTTCAGGAGCTATCATAGATTGATAGCTTATTCTCTCCTTCTTGTGGATAGTATAATTAATTACAAGTAACTATGAAGCGAGAAACAAAGATGGCAAGAGGAGTATCGTCATATTTCAACTAGATGTAGTAAAGTGTATGGAGAATAAAATTGACTTGAAGGTGCAGAGGATTAGCACTTACTAGTTAAATTTGTGACTTAGGCGCACTTGATATCTCCATGACATCCTTTTATGATCTAGTGAATATGAATTAGTCATGAGTCATTACCTAGCTAGGCCTAAACCTTTAAACTTGTCTTCGAGAACTCACACATTAGTTTATGACATTGGTCATAAACCGGTGGCTTATTATACTTAATCACATTAATGAGATGATGACACGATGGTTTGAGTAGGCCTTCTTGGGCCCACTCGCTTATGACATCCTGCTCTCATGTGAATGTGTAACTTTGTTCGCAATGGGTGCGCACTAGTAAGTAGGAAAGTCGTAGAAGGTCATTTGTTTTGGCGCATTTAGTCCACTATGATATTTGTGACTAGATATGTGTAAGGGTGTGATAGCTAAGCCTCAATCTCGACACATTTATAGATTACGATACACATCTGAGTCAAGACTATTTGATCACCCATAAGTCAAAAGTTTTGAGATGATTTTTGACATTGCACATATGAGGTTGAGAACAATTAGATAACAGCTTTCGTGCTTTTAGTTTTGACCAAGGTGGCGAGTATCTATTTGAGTTATTTTAGAAAAAACTCTGTGAAGAGGAATGGATGCTTAGAAAATTGATTATTCCTAATACTCAACAACACAATGGTGTAGTAGAGATAAGGAATTAAGTATTGTTAATGTTAGGTGGATGATGGCGCAAAATGTTTCCCAATTGGGAATTGCACTTTAGTTTGTTGCCTATATCCCTAACTAAATGCCCTCCATATCAAATTTTACACTCCATTTATGTAATGGG